GGATAAAGTAATTTCATTGTGTACTATCAATCATTATTTTGTTGTAAATCCTAGATAACACATGCACTGTGCTTATCTGAGACCCTTTAGAGCGTTTCTAGTTCCAGCTTGCTTGAACAGCTCAGGAGTATTTAATTTTCAGTTAATCTGTGCTACTGGGAGAGTGGGTGACAAGCAAAACAGTATATGTGCTCTTGCATTTGATTATGGGGTATTGTTTTATTTTTGAAACTTTTTCTTATTTTTTATAGTTTGGAGCATACACTCAGCCAGTCTTGCATATGTTCAGCAGGATTATGGTGTGTTTTTGTTTTTTAAAAGAAGTGCAGTAACAAAAATTTGTATTTCCTGTACTTAATTCAGTTCTTACGTCTCCAGTCATAGAAGACTGTTACCCTATACCCTCTTGTCAGCTGGTGAGGCCATGAAATACTCAGTGGTAACAGACTAGTTAATCTAATTACACTGAAATAGAGGTTGTGAAAAAAAGCATTAATTTTCATTTTGTGTTAATTCATAGTTATATTGGCTTTTCTTTCCTTCCTGTTTTGTTTGAGTTTATATAAATGAAAATTCGTCAGTCTTTAAATTTTTGCATGGTTTCAGGTTATATGCAAAATGTATATATGAAAAGACTGACATGATAAAGACTTTAGCTGTATGCTTGATGAATTAAATCATTGTAATGGTAACTTCTACTCTGTGTTATTCAATGTAAAAATTTTTGCAGGGACACTGCTAGTTTTTGTAATCCTGCACATTTTTTAGCCTAAAACAGAGACATCAGAGAGAATCTCTGCAAATCCACGTTTGTTTTAAACTGAGCCAGTGCAGACTGATGTATTTTTTTTTTCTTGTGGTGAAAACTGTATTACTATTAACTTTTGCTTTTCCTGAGTGAGTTTATATCAGCTGTCAGACTGTTAGGGGACTGTTCTGTAGTGACTGTTTGGATGTATCTTTCTCCTCAATCTTCGCGTGACATTTCAGCAGTGGGCATTGGTGAAGGTGTCTGAGTAATATCTCAGAAGCCTTTACTGAGTTTCTGTTGTTCAGCCTGGAGGAGAGGAGACCTCATAGCACCTTCCAGGACCTAAAGGGGCTCCAAGAGAGCGGGAGAGGGTGTGCAATGATGGAACAAGGGGGAATGGCTTGAAGGTGAAAGCAGGAAGGTTAAGATGAGAAAATGAAATGTTCTTTGCTGTGAGGGTGGTGAGGCAATTGAACAGGGGAGCGGTGTCAGCCCTGTCCCTGGAAGTGTTCAAGGCCAGCTTGGATGGGACCTTCAGCAACCTGGTCTGATGGAAGGTGTCCCTGCACATGGCAGGGGGTTGGAATGAGATGAGTTTTAAGATAGTACAGAATGGTTTGGGTTAGAAGGCATGATTTTATATATATATGTAAATATAGGATATTGCCTAAATGGATAACCCTTATATCATGTTTTAGGAGCAGTGGAATTCTCTCAGCTGGATTTTGAATAAATATATGGGTTATACAGATCACTTACTGATTGTAAAAAAAAAGTCAGTGTAAGTTAATGTTGCTTGGTAATTTCTGAGTGGATGTGGATATGAAGGAGGGTTATGAAACAGAAATCTACCCAGGTATCTAACTGTGGTGAGAGGGATGGGCCTAAACCTGATGAGAAATAACTTAAAATTTGTTTCCCTCAACTGATAACTTTTGTTCTGCTGATTCACATTGAATAAGCGTTTTCTGACATGACTCTTCAATGTAAAAGACCTAGAGATTACAGTAGATGCTTTTAAACATTTATATTAGTGATTATGTATACCTTTGAATGTGTTTTTTTTACTATACATGTGATTGGAATGTTTTACTTATGAAAAAAGAATTTATAAAAGCTGGACCTACTTGGATAGGAACTCAAAATTACCAGTCCAAATAGTGTTAATCAGAAGTTATCTTCTTGCTAGAGTTCATGATTAAAATGCAGCACATTGAAATAATCTGTGACTTAATCTGAACATCTGAATTCATTTTATAGAATATGGCAAACAGCTGCATTTCAGTTTGGAACTAAACAAATACAGTATATCAACCCATTGAAGATCACTGTAGGCTTTTCAGTTCCATGATAACTATACTTATTGAAGAAAATTGATTTGAGAGTGCTTCTGCTTTTGAATTTTTTTTTTTTTTAATGTCCGGAAGAAAGGAAATAGAACATACGGAGGATGGGACTTTGATGTGTAAAGAAGTTAATTATCTAAACCATCAAACAAAATGTGGGCTGTGGAAGTAATTATTGTAAAGGGTCTGATGAAGCCTGACAAGCTGTTGGTTTTTTATGTCAAGAAAATGCTGTACACCTGCTTGATTTGAAAGTTAAATAGTTTGTTTGCAATAGGAGGACCTAAGTTTGTAGTGAAGCAGTAGCTGATAAGCTTTCAGCTCTCAAGCCATGGGATGTATAACCCTTCAAATTTTTTAAATTGAACTGTTCTTGTCCACTTGAAGGGCAGGAACCTAAGAAAGGATTTGCTCTAGAATAGGACATCCATGAACCACAGGTCTTATGCTGTGAAGAGGCAACTGTGAATTTGGGTCCCATGGTTTTTTGGGAATTTTCGGAGATTGTTTCATAAATTAGCAGAACAGAACCTCATGGATAAAGCATAATGTCTGTCATGGATGTTCAAAGAAAATAGTTACATGCTTCAAATGATGCAATTAGTTTTAAAACACCCTAAAAAACCTCCTTAAGTCTTTGAATGTTATTCACTTTTTATAAATACACAGTTAATTCTCTATTTAGGAATATTGGTATTGTGGTACTGAATATAAAAATACAGCTACTAAAATTAATCCTAATTAGTCCAAATCAAATAATGAACAATAAAATATATATAAATTTCTAAATCTTTAGGCTGTTTCTGCTAAGGCAGGTACAAAGGCAAATTCTTCTTAATTTCCTTTCATGGATAAATAGAGCTTTCCTATAAATACTGGCACCTTTCTTTGTTAAAGAGGGTTTTAACTGTTTTTTCTTTTTTAAATTCACTAATTTGACTGTTTGGGTTAGATGACTCTGGTAACTGCTGATTATGGCAGGATCCTGACAACACTTTAGCCTTGTGTGTAACTACTCATGTGATTAAAATCAGACTTGAGTGGGAGCAAACTTGTGATTCAAGTTACACATGTGCATAAGTGCTTGAAAGATGGAGACCTAAATTAGAATCTGCCTGAAGATGAACTGAAGTCTGATAATATACATGAAAGCATTAATAAAAAAAATTAAACTTACGACACCAAGTTGGGTGGGGTAGGGAGGTTGTACAAAGGGATCTGGAAGGGCTGGATCAATTGACCAAGGCCAGTTTTATGAGGTTCAACAAGTTCAAGTCCTGGATGCTGTACTTAAGCCACAATGACCTCGTGCAGTGCTGCAGGCTGGGGCAGAGTGGCTGAAAAGCTGCTCAGTGGGAAAGGACTTGGGGGTGCTGGTGACGGCAGCTGAATCTGAGCCAGGTGTGCCCAGGTGGACAAGAGCCAATGGTACCTGGCTTTCACCAGCAGTACTGTGGCCAGCAGGACCAGTGGCTGTCCCCTGTGCTGGGCACTGGTGAGGTGACCTCAGGGACTGTGTTCAGTTCTGGGCCCCTCATGATAAGACAGACATTGAGGGGCTGAAGTGAGTCCAGAGAAGGGAACTGAGCTGGGGAAGGGTTTGGAGCACAAGTCTGATTAGGAGCAGCTGAGAGAGCTGGGGGGACTCAACCTGGAGAAAAGGAAGCTCAAGAGGGACCTTCTCCCTGTCTTCAATTCCCTGACAGGAAGAGACACCCAGGTGGGGTCGGGCTCTTCTCCTGTGTACAAAGCTATAGAAGAAAACAGCCTCAAGTTGTGTCAAGGGAGGTTCAGATACTGGGAAAAACTTCTTCACAGAAGGGGTGATCCAGCATTGGAACAGGCTGCCCTGGGAAGTGGTGGAGTGGATTTCTATTCTAGAAAACAACCTTACCTTTTGAATTTTGAAATAGATAGAGGTAGGATTTCTTACAGCACAGCAGACTATATCAACATAAAGCTTTTGTTGTCGCTACTGCTAATAGTGCAAGAAATGAGCACTACAACTCCACTGTTACTAGTGTGTAACAAGCTAGAAGATGAGAAATACAGTGAGAATATATCTTGTTTATCAGGGGACTCTCAGAGTATGCAGTTTTTTATTAATTTTTTGAAGGAAAAAATGAAACTCCCTTGTACATATTTATGGCGTTTTCTATAATTAAATTTTGCTTGGTCAGTCCTTTAGTAAATTAAATTATTTAAAAAAGTTAAATAGCTCAAAGCCATTTGACATGCATATTATTGAAGAGGAAAATGTAGATTTGTTAATTACTTCATAGAATAAGAGTAAATTTGTCCTTGATTTTCTTTGGAGTTCTTGAAAGACATACTTAGAAAAGCTGAAAAATACTTTGTATAAAGATAGTACCTTCAGTGCTATGAGTGTGATGATAGTGGTTGGGTCTCACTCTTTCTAATGCATTTCTTTTTTAAGAATTTGTGTGTGGGAAGGGGGTGTTTATAAAGGAAGTTTCTGATCTCTGTGCTCATAAAGTTTTAGCTGGCTTTTCGTGAGAATCTCTTTTACTCCTCTTAGCTTTGTTGGAGATGGTGTGGATGTGATTTAATGATGGTTAGGATATGCAGGAATATAAGAGGATGATTGGTCAGTAGAGATTCTGGTGTCTATGAATACTATCTATTCCAGAATAGTACTTTTTAGTATACTTCCAAATTGTATTTTATAATTAGTGCATGTTTCCAATATTTGCTTACAGTAAACATCAACTCAAGCTTTCTAGTGCCTCACATAGGCTTATTTGTTGCATGCGGAACCTTTACCTTCCATGTTACTCCAAATATAATTTCTTCCTTTAAAATATCTAGTATGAAGCATACATCTGCTCTCTTGGAAATTAAATACAGGTATTGTAAGTGCTGTTATTTCTTTATTTACCCAGATGAGCAGCACTGTGGCCAGCCCGATGTCAGCGGTTGCCTCTTCAAGCAGTGGAAGAAAATCAACAAGTTTTACACCTGAATTGCAGAGTATGATGTGAGTAGTCAATTAAAATATCTGGTAGTATCTGCATTGTGTATTCATCTTTTAGCTATTTTCTTAGAATATGTGAGTAAGTGTGATGGGAGAAAGAAGAGCAGGTGTTAGTGATGGAGCTGTTAAGTGTTTTACTTCTGATTTGTAAAACATTCAGAGATGACCTGGGTAAATAGAGCCCGTATCCTCTATTGAAAGGAGAGTAAATGCTGCTGAGTAAAGAAATGTGTTTTTAATATATACTTTAGAAGTCTTTAGAATCCTGTATTTCTCAGCCCTTTATCAAAGAAAGCTAAGTTTCCAATTGTCACAGACGCATTTTAAAATAAAGACTTTCTATTAACGTCCTTCAATGCTAATACAGATAAGTAAACTGCTGAGATTGTAATATTACTGATGAAATTATGGTATGGAATACTTGCAAATAACTGGAGTTTGCCAGACAGGAAGTAAAGTTCTTAAAAAGCTAAGCTACTTATTCTTTTAAATGAACACTGGATTCTTAGAAATCCAGTTCCAAGCTGTAATGTTATATGACTTGATAATTTGGTAGTGAGAGTAAAGCTATGTTGCTTTTAGTCATGTGTTGTAGGTTTACCTACACTGTTGTATAACAATTTCTTACCTGAATTACTACATGGGCAATAGATGCATAAGGAGTTACTTGTCTCCATTAAATTCTACAAAGAGTTCCTGTTACAAAAGTGAAAAATGCAATTTGTTTTTAGTTAAGTGTCCTTATGAGATCACTAGATTGTTGTCAAGTGGATAATGAGATACCTTCCACTGGAGTATTTTTTAGTATAATGTAAATAAGAGTTTTTTCTTGTGCATTGAGTCCTCTAATACAGATGAGTACATTGTTACGGACCCAGTGTTTAACTGCATTGAGTTTTCTTTGGATAGAAAAATATTACTGCTCTCTCTCCTTGAAGAGAATTCTGTTTGCTAATTGTTCACATCTATTTAGGTTATCTATGCTGAAAAAATACAACTGTTGTTCTTAGTTGAGAAAAATAACTGTAGCTGTGTTTAAAAAACAAAACTTCAGAGTCAAATCCTGTGCATCACTTTGGATCAGTATCTGGGGAGCCTGCATTTTATTGGATTGTGGACTTCCTGATAAAGTGTTTTGAAACTCCCCTTCCCCGCCAGTGTACACACAATTCTGTCAGAATGCAGAAGTTATTGTTGGCCACATAAATGGAAGGAATAGACAGTTTCCTTTTGCTTCAGAACTGGTGCAGTTATCCTTTGAAAGCTGTGCAAACAGATCATCTGTGCTCCAGAGTAACATATTTCACAGCTTCATTAAACTAGTAGGAACTGAGGAAATTCCTTGACTGTAGTGAGCACATTGAACTTAAATTTTTATTGTTTGCTGTGAAAAAGAAGGAGACTTTGGAAAATGATAGAGTGCCAGGGATGAACCGTACAGAAAAAAAGGCAACTGTTTCCTTTGGCCAGGGCCATAAAAAGAAGTTATGCTTTTAAAAGAACTTTCTGTGCTCTGACAGAAGCTGACATTTTTTATAAACGATGTGATTTAGGAAGTTACGGATTCTCCTGTTTAGGCGATTTATAACAAATTCCTGCTGACATCTTAAGATCCTGGGAAATAGCAGAGACTGGAGCAGTGCAAGAAAGGTAACATCTTAAAGAAAAGAAAATACAGACTATCTCTGCCTAGTTTCTTATTGTCAAGATAAGGGTCACCTATTTGCTATAGTTTTCATGGAGTAATATGAAGAGTAATTTCAACTTGCCCTGCCTGTGCAGCAAGAGGAGGAACTTTTGAGAAATAAGTCATATAGAGACATTAAGTGCTAATCCAGAATGTCATGTAGTAGTTTGTGTTGATTTTAAAAATGGGCTCTTGGATTTTAGAGATTTAAAAGGCAGAAGGAAGAGAGAGAAACTCAATTTTCGGAGTAGAATATCAAATCCTGTTGTAACCTGGTGGCAAGATCTGGAAATCTCTGGATAAGAATATCTTGTGACCTTGAAGGTGGCACCTTTAATTAGTGTATAATTTGCTGCACAAAAGTGTTGAGCCAGTGTGTGATTCCATGGAATGCTTAAATTTACATGTAACATTAAGCTTGTGAGTAATCACATTTAAGGTTATTCATATGCTACATCTGTTACATACATTACACCTATTTTTGAACCATGGCATTGTAAGGGAATGAACTGAATCATGTTGTAGAATTGTGTTTTTATGATAAGCTCAGAAGGGCTTTTCTGATTTGAGAAGGCAAGAAATGTATAGAAGTCTTGAAATCATAAAATACTGGAAAAAAAGCTGTCTTAAAATGTGTACAAGTTTTTCATTATGTGTATATAGATACTTTACTAATGAAATGATTCTGTTTCTCCATTAAGAATATTTAAGATATGTCTTGGATTTGAAGAAATTTTTGTGTTTGAGAAAAGAATGTGGTTTGTATGATGCCTACATAGTACTGAGTAATTGGTGATCATGCATGTGCTGATTACCTTAAGAAGAATGCTTCTTAATCAGATTGTCATGGATCATCCAACCACAAGTCAATTTGCAGTGCACTACCTTTTGCATAGTTATATTTGGCTTTTAATTGTTAAGACCTTGGAATTAAATTATATTTATCTTATACTAATTTAAAAAAGCAAAGTGCTATGTAGAGCTTGCTTCAACTTCTAAATCCTTTATTTGTATTTGGATTTTATTATCATGGTAGCAGCAGTAGGTACTAATAATTTTAAAAAGTTTTCAGCACATCTAGTGCTGAGGCTTGTTTTACTTAAATTTTTTTGGCTGATCTATAGCCTGTTTCCAAACTAACTGCTCACGTTAGGTGAGTTAAGTTAGGTGGCACTTAAATTACAATTCTGCCCAGTACATTCACAACCATGCTTATTTCACTGTAGCTATTAAAATTCACAATTTGGTAGAGATCATCTGTTTTCTAATACAAGCACTACTTAGAGTGAGCTTCTGGAAACCCTGACAGTCTAAAAACTTATGTTGAGCAATTTGCAGCTACAGAGGGAGGTTTTTATCTCCCCTCAGTAAAATGCCTTGACTTCTCATTGCTATTTTATCTATTTACAAAAATTCTAATTACTGTGATCTGAAGTTTCTTAATTAGCTCTTGAGATGCTTCATACAAAAAATCAAAATTTGATACTATAAGGTTATAAGGATAAATTTTAATGGTGGAAGTAGTGAAGAAAACAATGTTGTAAGTCTTTGTTTATTTACTGTATTTACAGTAGTTAATATTAAAACAATAATATGCATTGCTATATCACATTTATTACTGCCCCTAATTATCTTTCCAGACAGTGAAACTATGTTCGGGTATTTCAAATGCAGTTCCTATTCAACTTCCTCCAGCTAGTAGCTTACACTCACCTCTGTTACACTTCCGTGTTGTGTTAGTGTATAATAGACATGCTAATAAATTCTTCACAGTCCCTTTTTCTTTATGACTATATTATTTATAATATATTTTCCCCTTTTTTAACATTCAGCAAATTATGGGAGAGACTTGGTAAGAATTGGGGCCAGTTCTTAAATCTTTACTTTATTAGGAGTGTTTGAACCTGCCTTCTTAACTCTTGGGATATTTACACGATCCCTGTTACTAAAGTATTTGAATGTTTTTGTAATATTGTCAATAATATTTCCCATTTTAAACTGGGTAGTAAAGAGTGGTTCTAGACCTCTGGTCACTCAAGGAGTATCTAGAATGAACATATTTTTATTTCAGACTTGCAAACACTGCATGGTATTTTTTTCCTATCTACAGCATGAGCTATAAAATCTACTGTTTATTACCTGTTACAACCTTGCAACTTGTCAATCAAATAACTTGTCTTTAGGGATTTTACTTATTTAGGATTTCTCATCCATTCTGAGATGACAACATCTTAAAAGGATATAATTCTGAATTTTTGAATGTGCAGTGGAATAACATGAAGCATGGTCTCTGAACTGATGTGCTCTCCTGTTGATGTATTTGTATAACCTCTGCTGACTTGAGTTGGATTACAATTTGTTCACCACTGAATCCCTGGAAGATCTCATTGATTTCTTCTAATATCTGATGCTAAATTTATTTTTATATACAGGAATGAAAATTCTGTTTGTTAACAACAGTGCTTATGTATAGTAAAGTAGTGTTTTCTTATCAGTTGAAAAGTTCAGGGAACTTGTTGCTCGTGTTGAAGAAATGCCAACTACATGTAGCAGGAAAGAGATGCTGTGATTCAGGAGCTGTGCTTTGCTCGACTGGTTTGTTTTGTGTGTTAATCCAGTTGTGAATACCATAATCACCCAAATACTTTGAGTTACTCACATTACACGCTAACGAAAAAAGGTACACAATATGCATTTCATGCTGTTCACGGGACTGTTGAACGTTTTACCTAAAGGATTTCACTATGTGACTTAGTAAGAAGTTTTACAATACATTCTCTGTGTGATTTCTAGATGTTGTACAAAATATTTGCCATTCTTGCTAGCTGTTGTGGTCAGCTGGGTACTTGGTTTTTGATGAACATCCAATTTTGTTGTCCTAATGTTCAAAACACAAATGGCTTTTTTACATCACTTTGTGTCAGTGGGTTTTATTGCTGCAAGTCCAGTTTATGTTAAACTCTGTACTTGATTATTTTGTGATTTTTATTATTTTATTTTTCTATTACATCTGAATGTGTCAGCTTGACTCGCCCTGTGAGGCAGATACAAATATGGGAATTCCCTCATGAGGTTTCACCTCATGCCAGGTTCAGTTCTTCCTCAGGAAAAAGAGTTTTTAGAGCATTGGCTTTCATATGTCTTAGGTTTCATGGAATGCTGAGCTCATGCAGACCTTGGTTCTACTTGTTTCAAGTAAATGATTATAGAGACTAGGAAGTTATGCTGAATAGACAGTCTAGATGATTGTTTTTAATAAAATGGTCCAGAATTTATCTAGCGTGGAACAAGCGTTTGCTTGAGCTGAATGTTAGTAATTATTTATTATATCACATTGTATGATGAAATATGGTAGTACTCACACAACCCTGCTGTGACTGTTACCTTATGGCTTCTTTTGGTTGTATGTTTATCCATCTTTGCTTTGAAGTTCATCAGTAAAATCATCTGACTTCAGATAGTTCGTTTGGTTTGATGGTGGAAGAAAACATCAGTAATGACCTGGCTGAGGGAGCGCTTTGGTTAACCAAACTGTAATTTGGGACTGTAAAGAATTTCTCTATTCTGTCCCATACTTGTTTACCATATTTGAACCCAGAATTGTGCTGAGATTGCACTGTTTAAAAATAAATAACCAGTTTAGCCTACTAAGCCGAAACCCTTCCCTGCAAACACGCAGGGAACGCTTTTCCCCTTGGGTAGGGATGATGGAAGGGCAGTGGCAGCAGATGTGGTACGTGGTTATCAGATCGTGTGTGGCTGTTCCTGTCTACCTCATTAAATACAGGAGGCAAGAGTGGTATGAGATAGAAAACTAGGGGCAGAACTAAGTTTTCCTTTTATAGGTGGGATGGAATACAGGAAGGAAATTCATTAGAGAAAAATTACTACAGCTTTTTCTGATGCGGATGTGATATTTTTAAGCTTTTAAAGGCAGTCTCTTCTTTGCACAGCACTTAGCTCAACAGGATTTTGCTGAGGAGACCTGATAGGATTTGCGGAACTGTTAATAAAAGATGTAAGAGCTGAAATGGAGTGTGTTTCAAAAAAGCTATGTGAAAATTCATTTTTTAGGCTTCCACATTTCTGTACTTCATTTAAAGTGTAGTTACTTTAGACTTCCCTTTTGTAAAACTGAAGTTTCATTTTACCTTTTAGTAGCAGAGTTCACTTGAAATACAACCTGAACTTGACCTTATTAGTGTCAAACAGTCTGAAAAACACTCATTTTATCTCTTGCTTCTTTCTCTTTGTTGTTACTGAGTATCCTGTCCCTATTTATGAAAGAGGAAGAGGTGATAGAGGATCTTAATTAACATATGGAGTAGTACACACACATAGAGCAAAGAAATTGTTGAGTGTCTGTACAGACTTAAGAAGGAAAAGTTCTGTGACTAATTTCAAAATTACATTTGTACTCAGTCTGAAAAAGAAACATAAGAAGGATGTTTTTATGAGGGAAGACTGGAGATATTAATCTGGGTAACAGCTTTTTCTATAAACAAAATTAGCTGAAGTTGAGCATTAGTCTGGGTTATGTGTGTCTTGTGTTTCTGCTCTACTAGTACTTTATTTTTCTCTTGTCAGTTCAAAGTTAATGTAGGTTTTGCAGTTCATTTGTGAAATCAGTTTTGCTAAGTATGAGAACAGTTTCTCTAAGTTTACTGTGCCCTCAGTTCTACTCAGTTTGTTCTGAGTTGCATACGGCTTCTCAAGCTTCCTGTGTTTGAAATTTTGTTTTGAATTGAAATATTTTAAAATATATGGTTCCAGGATTTTGAGCTTAGATTCCTGAAACTTTCTGGTTTCAGGTTTTGACAGGTTGCTATAAGGTATCATCTAGTACCTAAGTAAAAGATTATAAAATTTGGAAACGATTTACTTTACTTGAGTGAAGACATATATGTTGTAACCAAATACTGATTAAGCCATAAATTAATATGATAATTAAATTCAGCATTTTTGTGCTTTATTTCCCTAGTGTAATAAGTTGTAATACATTAATTCTAGCAGACTGAACCTGAAAATCCAGTTTAGCTGTAACTGTGACCATAACTGGCATATGCTGCTGAAGTCTTTAAAGTGCAGCTTCTTGCATCATTTGCAATCTGTTTGTTTTAATCAAATTTAATTTGACACTACAGATTGTATGTGTTGGTGTGCAATATTGTCACAGGATACTTTTCGTCTGTGGAGAACAGCAGCAAGGTGGATATTATAGCTGTGCTTGCCTTTTTCATTCTTCTGAAGTCATTCTGCCCCATGGAATTATTTTCAGCCGGGTTAGGTAATTAATTGAAAATGTAGAGTTTGGATGTCCGTAGGTGACCAGAGTTAGAAGGAAAGTTCTGGTTGCTCTGTGTCCTAGGTGGCTAACTGAGCAACTTCCTCGTCTAGGAGCTATTTCTGGCTCATTCAGCTCTCAGCTCTGTGGCATTGGAGGCCACTGCTTGTCTTTTTAATTATATATATATTTTTTAACTTTTTTTCCTAAAGCACAAAAGCTGTATTATCCTCCCCAGATTTTGCTGGAGTGATGCTGGAGTCTGAACCCCTGGTACGTGTGTGTCTCTTTGGAGGTGCCTGACAGCCCTGAGCAGTTACAGCAATGTGCTTGTTTTTCTCTATCATTGTGAGTTCAACATAGTAATTTAGACTATGACGTTCTCCCTAAATTGGTCTGGAAGGTGATTAGTTTATCCTTGAATCCCACACTGGATCTGGGACTTACAATGAACCAGCTAAATAATGATGGAATATTTATCCTCCTGAATAGGTTCTAGTACTTCGAGTATGTAGCACCATCAATTTTTTAAAATGTAAATGTATGAATAGCTTTATTGTACTTTCATCAGGTTAATCTTACTCTATTATTTGACTATGTTACATATATGAGGTATGTAAAAAAATCTATATAATATACAACGTATTAAATGTCACTGTCTCCTTATATTATGAAGTTAAATTTTAAATCCCATACACCAGCATTTGATCTTTTCATGTGTTCCTGTAAGACCTTTTTTAATGACACATGAAGCCATTGCAGTGATTAGAAAGGAACCCACCTTTTCCTCCACAGCTCCCAGGAATGTGAAGTAACTGAATAGTGTTTCTTTTAGCTTGACTCTAGAAATTCTAAATAATAATTTTACAGTTGTGATAAAACTGGGTGACAGAAATGGCATTAAGGACAAGGAGAATGGTCTAATGATACGTGCTAGTTTATTATATAAAACAATATTGGCAATTTCTTTAAGATGTTAACGCTGACCTGATTTTAGTTTTAAAAAACATTACCAAGAACGTTTAGTTTGTGATTAAAGTTTTTTGCTTTGGTAGAAAATGCTGAGCAAACAACTTACTTGCTCTCTTGACTTGGTGACTTCTTTTGCTTCTTCAGTTTTAGACAGAAAGCTCTAAGGACATTCTGCTGTTAAAAAGCAGCAGCTTCTGACCTAATGTACCCTTCTCTGAACGATAATGTTTCTTTGTTACTTATTTTTAGCTCAGATTGTTTTTCTCCCCTTTCCCCCAACATGATTTGTACAACCTTTAGAAAATTTAGTTGTGGTTTTGAATCATCCTCCGTTTCTAGACTGAATGAGTATTTCTGAAGAAGCACAGGATTGCTTGTGAGTGGGCCTTTCTCTTACTTAAAAAGGCAACAGCCATGACAGTTTTACCCCCGAAAAAAAGCAGAAAATCTGTAGACCCTTAATAGACTGCATTGTGACCCTGGAAAGGACAGCGTGTTAAGTACTTATTTAATTTTGTACCAATGGTATATTGCTAGCAGATGTCTTTTGTTTTGTTTTTACTATGATTCAGAGCCATTTGAATAAAACATTTTGAGGGAGTATATTTTGGTCCTGAAATAAAGCATGACTATCCATTTAGAAACTACAGTAATACTTCATTGTGTATCAGTCTATATTTGACTCCTTGTTTGGGTATAAAGCCTTTAGCATATCAAGTACAAGTCTAAGTACTGTTATCTTACTGTGCTTTTGGTGAAGCACAGCAAGATAGCGTGAACAGCTAATGTGTAAATACTGATTAAAAAAAGCCTTACAGGAACAAATTGGAATTCCATGAAGTATAAATAAATGTGTTTGGCTGTTTTAAGTGTGGGAGAAAACAAATGAATTTGATGGCAAATTATTTTTTCCTGTTAGTTATACTTTTGTGTTATAAAAGGTCCTTGTTAATTCTGCAAATAAAGTAGTTCCCTTCTAAACCAATCTTGTAGCTTTTACATTCTGAATTACTCACAGGAAATCAAGAATCTGAAAGGTCAGCCTGTGTACTTATATTGTATGGATTTTCATTTAAGTGGGTACGTTCACACTCATTCCCAATGCCTTGACACTATTCCTGCACCAGTCAGATAATAATCCCATCAAATGGAGTCATAGAAAAATTAAGGTTGGAAGGGATCTCTGGAGGTCATTTGATCCAACCTACCAGATTCAAACCTTAGATCTTATTGCTCCACAACTGTGTGAGAAAAATGCACTTTCTTTTTATAGTCTACCTGGTTTTATAGGCTTAACTGCTATAGCTACAGTAGTAGACTGCTTTTTCCAATATAGCCAAGCTACTGTAATTATTCTGGAAACACTTTTAAATGTAGACTAGACTTTAATATTAAGAAGCGTCTAAAATTACTAAATAAAATTAGATTTTGATTTTCTGGAAATTCCCTTTCACTAGCCAAGTTAAGAGGAGAAAATACATAGTCTTTATGGAAGGTATGTATCAGTGTGGTTTAATATGTGACTACTTTTTCTGTTAGACTGCAAAGCTCCTGCTATTATATATTTAAAAATGTAGACATTGGAATAATTCTGCATATTTCCCTGAAAAAATAAGTTGTAATGTTAATTACCTCCCCATGCCCCTCCCCCCACAAACACTCTCTTATCTGTTTCTAATTTTTTGGAAAACCTACACAAAAGAAGGGATAATTATTATTGTATAGACATGTTTCTCAGTTATGATAAAATGTTTTGTGTTACTGTTAAAACCAGAGTATGTTTTATATGGCCACTATAGTGCTAAAGGTTACTATGGAAGAATTTTTTAAAGTAAGGAGTTTGAGCAAACCTGGAGACTTGATGAAGCATTGGAAAGGATGAAAAAATATTCCTCTATTCATCTCTTTCTTTAGGAAAACAAAGTACTCATGTTTTCTTTAAAATAAATTTTGTCTATTTCTTTCTCTGCATGTGTATACATAGGCTTATATACAAGTATAACTTTTTGCTGACTTCCAGTTCATCTGAATCTACTTGGTATCTGGTAGGAAACATGGGAATAAATATGTTAGGAGGCAGGAAGAGGGTGATCTGTGGAAATATGTTTTCTTAACATCCTTCTACTCCTCTACTGGTTAGTAACTTCCAGTTGAATGTGCTTGTGTATAGTTGGCAGATTCACTGCAATCAGATCTTTCTCCTACATTTTGTCCAATAATTTGGTAAGGCAGTTCAGTCAATAAAAGTGAAGGCAGACAAATAACTGTCTCTTTATTTAGAATCTCAGTAATTCCAGTTTTGCTTTTGATAGATCATTTGTGGAAATCAACATCTGTGTGCGTCTAAAACACTTAATACAAACAATGCCATTAAATTTAGCTGTATGTAAGTTTGCTTTAAAAGCTGTAGAGGTATAAATGCTGATTGTCATTGAATGGGATGTGTTAGGAGAGTTGCAGAAATAGTGTTGGTCCTGGACTAGGCCCTTCTAGGTCTGTTTGTGCCGACTGCGATGGAATTACAAGGAAATAGCCCTATGCAGTGAAAACTGAAAATCTACTCAGCTGAACCAACTTTAATACAAGTTAAACAGGGCTCGATGCATATCTGGTGACTTAAGAGAAAGGCTCTGTAGAGGTTGGCAAACTTCTCTATTCTCTGTTTCCCTGTTAAATGCCAGTTTTATTCCTTCAAGAATGAAACTCTCTTTTGGAAAGTAATATATTAAAACAAGATCTGCCTTTGAGTTTGCACTGGCAGGATCTCCCACTCTGCCTGCCCAGGTACGTTCACATAGTGCTGCAGCTGTGTGCCCAGCGCTGACTTTAAAGTGACAACTCGGTATCTGTTGTGTCCTGTTATGGTTCAGATGACTGAAAAGATAAGTGATGAAGTTAAGGAGAGATGAAACTCTAGGGGTTCTTTCTAATGAATTATAGAATTATTTTTGAAAAAGCAGTGCAGTGTTTGAATAATCAAGTCAAGTATTTTTCTGGAGCCAGGATTGCGATGGTAATATTTATCTTTGAATTCTTAAGACAGATAAAAATCAAAAGCCCAAACCACCAGCTATTTTTCTTTAATGTTTAGATTAATCCAGAAAAATAGACCAAAATTTTGAAAATGGCTTATTTAAACACAGATTGATTGAACTGTTTAAGGGGCATTTAATTTCTTTTGCAAAAAGACTTCTCTGTAGAGCAACATAGAGTTTCAGGGAAAGTTATTAATTGATTTATCATTATGATCCTTTTGAAACAGGGAAGTCATTACACTATTTTGTCAATTGTAAATTAAGGCGTTGGGCAGAAACTTCTGGACATCGTTTAGTTTTGAATGGAGACCTTTGTCTTCTAGAATCTGTTTTAATAAAGCTTTTCTAGTCTGGTTGAAGTAGATGATGGTGAAATGTGTTTGCTATCTGTAAGGACGTCTGATTTTTCTGTTGGCAATGCTGTTTCCTCCGTTCACACACAAGTGAAGATAGTTGTCTTAATAAAAATAAAGTAGGAATTAGACTTTTTTCTATCATCTTTTGCTACATGTAAGCTTGCCATGTGGCTTTCCATGTGTGCCACATGTTTCTTGTATAAGCATCTACTATTAAAGACAAGTGTTGGTAGCTCTATCACTAACAGTTCACATGCCCTACACTGAAAAGCCAACATCCTCTCCAGCTGAGGAGAGCTGTTGCTGCTATTTTGGTAGTCTTTTGTTGCTTTAAATGTGGGGTGATGAAAGCATGAAGAACAGCTGCTGCTACTTTAATCCTATAAGAGAGGTAATATTCATGTGTTTTTGTTTGTGGTCGGTGAAAGACTCATTTCTTTCTTGTTGGAGCTGAAAACAAAGATGTTGGGGATATTTCAGTGCTGATTGTTAGAATATAGCTGCCACTCCTGGAGTTGAGGAATTCAAAAAGTAGTCCACCTATTATAGTCAAGGGTGGAAAAAATTTATTGCAGTGAATTTTAAACTTCAAAAAGCTTTATGTGTGTTTGGATTGAAGGAATAAGTGTCAGCCCCCTTTTAAACCTCTGCAGTTCAGGTTTTGCGGACTATAGTAGTTACAATTTAAATTACTGAAGTTATTTTGGTATGCTTGCTTATAATTCATGTAACAACATACGTATGTAGTCTTTATTTTTTGCCAAATGGAAAGGTCAAACATTTTTTTCATAAGGGTTCTCATGAGTTTCACCACTCTGTCTCAGGTGTGGTCTCTTGAGACTATTGGTAGAAGGAACTGTGAGATTGTATCTTCCTACCATTAGGACTTGGCATGATCAGTCTTGGATGAAGAATTTGAATCACTTCTTCTGTCTGTTGGTCAGGACCTCTACCCTTAAGTCACTCACTTGATTTATCATCCAAAGTAAGGTGGCCTAAATTCAAATCTACTTAGTGTTGTAATACTAGAAAGCAGTTTACCTGTAAAGGTGTCATTTTTCAGAAATCTGAGATACTTTGTGAAAATTTATAAGGGATAGTCCTTTACCAAAGATGAAGCATGCTTTTTAGGAGTTCTTAAATTTATTTGAACCAGAACACACCACTTTGCAGCAATAGTCATTGGTTGTCTTGTAGCCATTTTTGACATCTGACTGTAAAAAACCCCAGCTGTAAACATGACTTACCTAGTTAGTTAAACTGACAGTTCAGTTGTTATGTTACTGAAGTAGGACAGCCTATCAAGTAATTCAGTTGAGGTTTTGAATTTTCTATTTTAGTCATGTATTACGTTTTAAAAAAACCCAACAAATTCAGTGTATTCTTACAAACTAGGATGTGCAGTTTTTTCAATTTTTTAAATTTGTCTTTTCCTGTCCTTTTTGTTTATGGAATCAACATCTGTAGGCATTAAAACTTGACTGAAGTTGTCTTGCAGACACTTAAATATTACTCTCAACAAGAAAAAAAATAAGGGAACTGATTCCTATTCTTGTTTGAAAATTAATGGTTTAACTCAAATTTGGGTCTTTTCCAACTGAAATCATTCTGTGATTCTATGACATTTTTGTTGCAATTGCAAATTAAAAATAAGTTGTTACCAAATTTAGTAGTATCCAACTGGAAGCATTTTATGTGTATTTTGCATGGCGAGATCACTGTGTGAGCAGATTATTTGGATTATTTCAGATTTTGAAAGGGGTATTAGCACTGACTTTGTTAGGAATGAGATACAAATAACTGTGCATTTACTTAAGATTTTGCTGCATGAAGGCCTCCATCTTTATATATAAAACCTGTCACTGAAGCCTAGAGATAACAAGACTCGTTATTGCCAGATTTTGGGCGTGCAGATAGATTCCCTGTAGATAAACTGGGATGTGAGTTTGTACTGCCTTGTTCACTCTGTCATACCTGGATTTATATCTGCATTTTCCTATACCGATGGAAAGTTGTTCATTCCTGTTTCATTCAAGGATAGTCTAACCAACCGAAGAATAAATGTGTGTACCTGAGCATATCCCTCACAGCAGCTTGAGGTTTCCATCCTGCATTTTCATGTGGGAAGCTGATTATGCCTCAAAGCCCTTACCTGTATCAGCAAGTGTTACTTGTTTGTCACTGAATAGAAGAGATATAGGACTTGGTGGGAACTAAAAGAATCCACTTATTTCTGTCGGAGTCACTGAGGCAGGATTCTGTTTTACTGAAACCTTCCTGACAGCCAGCTGTTTCATCTGCTCCAAAATCTCTAGTGAAGGAGATTTTTGGGCAATTTCCACCGAATTTACTTTGTTTTTGGATAGTTACCCCTTTGTATCTCTAAAGAAGTGATGGCTGTGAAAAAATGACTTTGTGTTGTACAAGACTGTAAACAGAGTAGGACCAATGAGTAACTCTGGATATAATGTAAAACTAGACTGGATGTGGAGTATTTTATCACTTCCTAACTGTTTGAAAAGAAAAAAAGTAAGTATTTGAAGACACAAACAGGCTTTAGAAGATACATAGGTAGAGTTGAGACTAACAGGCACCCAGATTATCCAAGATGGGGGCTTCTATTGTGGCAGACATGCCGTGCCTGAAATCTGCTATGGAATACTGAACTCCTTTGCTTCTGATTTGTTTTTGTCTTTCACCACGCTGCTGAGGAAGAAAGACTTGATCACCGTTCACTTTACAGTGACTTATTCAGTTCCTTCAAACTTTTCACATGGTTTCCAAAACTGTTATGAACATCTCTGCCAAAAGTTCTGTGTTTTGGAATTTTCCACCTTCTCCCTTGAAAGGTGGTGTCCAATAGGAGAAAAAAAGTTAAAAAGTTATTTTTGAGCTCTCATCATTGAGATAGGCAGAAACTGTTTACTTATTTCTATGTATGGCAGGCCTGGTAGCATCTGTGAGAATGAACTGAACACCTGCCACCAGTTTGATATGTAATTATTCCTAATTAATCAATTTTGGTTGTTTTTTACCTTGTTATGCTGCATCTTCATGCACTGACTATTTCAGCCTGTTCAGAGTCACAGGTTTGGCAATGGTTTCAGTGAAGTGTTGGTGTATGGGGACCAGATGCAGGACAATACCATGCATACCATGTAAGCTCTGCCTTTCAGAAGCTGGCTGAGAAAGACCACAGTGATCAACTCTTTTTGTTCAGAATCCTGTATGGTGCTGTTGCTATAACCAAGGCAGTTGATGAGTTTAAATGCTTTGAAATTTTTTAAATTTTTAGTTGTAGACAAAACCAGTTTTCTAGTTGAAATACCTTTAGGTTCCAACCCAGAATAGGAAACAGCTATATTTGGTGATGGCACAATTGTTAGCATTGCTTTTTTCAGATTTAAAATATGCTTACACAAAGAAAACGGAAGTGTTTCGCTGACAATATTTGCTAAGCATTTTCCCAGCAAGAACCAAAATTACCAAGTCCTGATGTTGTGAGTCATAAGTATGACTTTTTAATATTTATTTTTTTAGAACAGTCTTCTCAATTATACATCAAAATAAGTTAACCTTGGAGACAGCTTTGGGCTAGAACAAACACATACTCAGCAAAGCTGAATTGATGATGCTGTTATAAACATTCTTCTATTGTGACTGATCTATGATGTCTTAGGTTGCACCTATGGATCAGTATTTTGTGGTAGGCACTGAACAAATGTATGAGAAAACCATAATCCTCAGAATTCCTGTAAAAGAAGTGAGGGATTCAGGGTTTGTTCTTAAGATGCCTAGAATTTTCAGGTTGCTCTGGCTTCCATGTGGGCCCAGGACCTTTAAAAGGCATACCAGATAACTGATTGCCATGTGAAAATCAGACAGTTGCAAAATTTTTAGTAAGGTGCTCATATTGTTTTTGATGGTTTTTGAAAATAAAAGAAGCATATTTATTTTAAATCATTTTAATAGCTTCAGGTGAGTTTGGAATCAGCTTTTTGTAGGAGCTATACCCTCTTCTATCAGAAAATAGGTGCGTAGACAAGTGTGATGATGCCAAGAAGCATCCTTGAAAGAGAAGACCAATGGCCAAGAACTGGCATTTGAAAATGGGACCAGACCTATGCTCCTTATTTTCAAGACCTGAGACTGAGAAGATCAGAAATACAAGAGATGAATGGCAGAGTGGTAACAGACAAGTTTGCCAGAGTCAAATATTTGGCTCTGAAATGGCATTCTCCTACCACTTTTGCCATTACAAAATGCGTGAGAATCTTTAAACCTAAAAAAACCAAAGAAAACAGGGAAATGGGAAAGTTTATTTCGTGGCAATTCTAATGATTCTGTGTTATGTGAATTACACATTGCCAAAACGTGTGCATTGCCTGAGCCTTAGTGCTCCTGCCATCCTGAGCCTCTGTGCATATTATCAAGACCAAGTATTTTCAATAGAGGAGTGCTCCTCTCTTTGATGTATAATCTCAGTCTAAACTGGCTTTTCCTATATATACAGTTTTCCTGCTGGAGTCCCTTAAAAACAGTCTTGTAAAATATTTTCCCAGAGGCTGCTGTCTACTGACTTTGTTTTCCCTTTTTCCAAACACTGAAATCAAGTTAGAGGTTCCTGAAGTATCACAGTTGCTTCTCTAATAGCATGCAGACTGGAGTAGTCAAGTTTTCTGCTTTTTACAGATGTGTATGGATATAAGCTTGTGTATATATAAATCTGTAATGAAGTGAAAATCTGGAGGCAATTTTTCTGTGGCAGACCTGTGTAGACAGAGTTACTCAGAGAGCTGCTCCTGAGGTGAACGTGCACAAGTTCTGTTCCATTGGAACAGAGCAAAAGGTTCCCTACGTGAGTTCTTGGAAAAGCTGTGGATCTCCCCTGCTAGGACGTTTGTCAGTAGTCAGGAAAGGAAAGAGTTTACAGGTTAAGAGCATGAAGTAAGTTTTCCACCATCTGACCTTTCTCACATGCTAGCACAGAGCAGCTTTTCTGTAGCATCAAAAGATATTATTGTTTGGCATAATAACTTTGCTAATCAACCCTCTTGTACAAATTTTTCTATTATGTTATAAACAGAAGTGTGCTACTATAAGCAGTTTTATTGGTGTAACTGCATTTAGCTAGGTCTTCTTCATCATCACGGTCTGTAAAAATTTGCATTTCTAACATATTCCACTGCTTTTCAGCATTACCTGTGTCCTTCCTTAATTAAGGTGCACCATAAAAGCAACTGACAACAGTTCTGTAAGGTGCCAGTGGAAGAGGGATACAGCTCTGGGCACCAGGTTGTTAGTTAGAAAGATGTTGGGATATGTATCATCCAACTTCTTTTTATTATTCTAGAAACTGTAAGATTTTATATTTTCCTCTAACTCCATGAAGTGTTATTCTAAATATAATGAAGCTGAGATCAAGTAAGGATGATCAGACATGCATCAATGAACTTTCTGGGATCTGGTCTGGAGTTGTTATTTATTTATGGATCTTGTCCCTGGTCTGTGTGTGGTAACTCCTTGAATGCTCTCAAGCTTTGATAGTACAAAGCAAACTGGGTTTGCATGACTGCAGGCATTTATCTGGTCACGTTCATGTTCACCATGAATGAAGGTAGAACTAATCTGCCCTTGGATAAATCAGTGCTGCACCTCACATTAAAGGCTTGATTTAATCTGGTTAAGGTCATGCCAGGGGATATTTTATGTGTGGTTGTTCTGTGTTTTGGATACAGATTCATCTTTAGAATATTTCTTAGAAAAGGTGGATGAAGAAACAAACTGATGTAAAGTGATGTAAAACTTTGCAATCAAATTAGTGATGTACCAATCAAAAGCCAAACTCTTACTGAAAAAAGCAAAAAAATTCCGTGAGAATTGGCAGATACATGTTTTTTTCCATATGCCATACATTAATTACAATTCACAGCTTTGATGTACTAACTTGTCCACCTTATGTTTGTAGATAGGCACTTATCTCACAAAGGAATTGTTTTTTTCTTTCTTTGTAAGATTGATTCATATTTCTTTGTGGATGAGAGGGAATATCAGTGATGTCTAGACATTGCTGTTTCCAGAAAAAATGTAGAACTAATCTTCCTAAACTTGGTGATTTGTGTTACAGCATATTGCCTGCTGAAGCTGTGCCTGGCTGGGGTTCTTGCTGTTGTGAAGAAAAACGTACTACAATTTCATGTTAGGAGCCATTTCTGTTTGTTTCTGCTTGAGTTTTGTTTTTGTTGTTGCTATTTTTTTTTAAACTAAACACCTCTCACATAATTTTTTTATAAGAAGTGCAATAAATGTGTTTTGTAACATAAATGCATTTGCTGTTGTTTGCCTGACTCTTCAGTCACTGTATTCACTTCTGCTCTACACTAAAGTTTACCATAATGGCCAGCTCGGAACAGTTTACTTTCTGAAAAACAAGTAACTCCTAGTAATGCTCAAGTGTGGTTTTTAACATTCCAAGACCAGCAAATATTAGAATGCACTATTTTTTCCAACCTGAGCTTCAAAATAATAGAATATGGATCTAGCATTGAGAAATACTGGTTTGAAAAGTGTATGAAATAGATTTCTGATGAAGAGGGAATTTGAGAAATACTTCTTTAAGAATTCTGGTGAGATACACAAACCACCTTCTGTAAGCTGTCTGAACATAACTAACATGCTGCTCAGTTTATTCAAAAAGGACTGTAAATTCTGGAAGTTTTAACTTGATATGTTTGCAGGTAACATGATTGATGTGTAACTCTAGAATGAAAGGAGTATTTAGAGTCTTGGCTATCAGTTCACCAGTTCTTATTCCTTAAACAAAGACAGGTCAGATATTAGTCTTGTCCTCTGTTAGTGTTAGTTTCTGGCTTCATCGTATGAATACAGACATATGTAAACTCAGAAAATATTCTAACCCTTGAATGTCTATCGATTACTAAATTGGGAAAAACAGAATAGTGGAGGGGGGCTAGCCTATGTCACAAGATTTTTTTTTTCATAGCTTCTCAGAGGTATATCATATTATAAATGCATTAGAAATGTTTTGCTCTGAGGATATGTAGCATTCCTATAAAGGTTAAATCAATAAAAATGATTTGGCCACATTCCTAAGCATGGCTAGAACAGGTAGCCCGTTGTTTAAGGTACCCTTGAATTTCTGGATCAGATTATTATGGTGCAGCAAAAAGGCTTACTAAAGGCTTCTTACTGTCTGCAGACGTTCTGTGTTTCTATGTGAAGATATCGTCAGCCTAAAAAAACCTTCAGATTTTCTTTGCTACTGAAAAAAAAGAGCATTTTTATGTGTAGAGGGCTCAAATGTTGTGCTGTGTGTGCTCTAAGTTTTAAAGGAAGTTTTGCAACAAGAAGGGTGAAGAGACATCAGTAATTGGTAACAACCAGGTATGTAAAGAAGAGAAAGAGACATCTTTTAAATCAGTATTAAGACTAGTAAAATTGCTGCCCATTTAAGTATCTTTATTAGTTTGTTTAGATTAGTCTTTTATGCATATCTGCTGAAGGTGAATAGCCATTATATGATGTATATTTACTGTATCTAGCCAGTTCAGTAAGCAAGTAAATTTATGAAATGTAATGGTAGAAGACTTCAAACAACTGTTACTTCAAATGTCTAACTTTGTATAAAGCTGATAAAAATTTAGTAGCTATTAAATAGTGTTTATTCCATACATCTGTTTGATTTAGTAGGCAGAGCTGAAGTCTGACAGTAGACTGTTTTTATAGATTTAGTGCATTTTAAAGTCTTTCAGGCACGTTGAAGAGCTACTGTGTATTATTGTTAAAGGTCAGATTTGTGTCTTACGGTGAGTGCATGTGCTGTGCATCTACTCTCCTGACATTTTTATATAGGTTTTACAAAGCACAAGCTTACTGTAAGAACATGTCACTAAGATTAGAGTTCAGATTCGATGGGTATTGGAAATTTATTTCTCTGTCTCACTGTGCCCTTTAAGAATGCTGGAGCTAAACACCAATGCCTTTTTATCTTTATTTCTTCCTTTGTAATATTTTTTAAAGTGTGTGAGAGATTATATTATTTTTTAATTATATCATAAAGTATGAAATAATGAAGAGTGATTCTGATGATAAAACACAGAGCCCACACTACTGGTAACTGGCACTTTATGTCTCAAGATGTTTTTCAGTTGTGAAAATTTGATCAGTGAATTAACCGCACATCCGGCTACACGCATCTTTGATCGGAATTGGAACATTCCAGCTCGTGTGTGTGTCTATGTGAGCTGGCTCCCTTGAGTAGGTTTTACACATGTGCACTACACATGTGCCTTGAAATTAGTTAGTAAATTAATATTATAATTCAAAGTAATAAAATTATACTTTTTCAAGCCCTTGTTTTGTACCTAATGAGTATTATTATAATTTATCTTTTTATCTGGGCAAGCTCAAGTCTTCATTTATTTTAAGATGGATTAATACACAGGTAGCTTAGCTGTAATTAGGATTTTGCTTTTGCTTTTAAGTGTAATATTAAAATTTTACTTTAATGAGCATAGAACTCCAAATTATTACAAGGTCATGACTGAGTTAATTGCCATCCAGAATAACAGAGCATGATTTTAGGTCCTGTTCCTGAAATGCTGTAAAATTGAAAGTTGTTCTTGTATTTGCATATGCAATACACAGTAGTGCACTAGAAAGAAACTGTGCTAGCTGTAGTATGAAAATGATTTGCACTGTGGAAGATAACTTTCTTCCCATTTGATGCTAAATTAATATTTTTTTGTTACTTAGATGTTATTTTTTATCCAGAAATGACTGCACTTTTTCTGAATGTTGATCTCTCTAATAAAATATCAGTATAAAGAGTGTAACTTCTGAATTTGTTTTAGTGTTTCTGTTTATGCCGTTTAATCAGAAAGGGGGGAAATAAAAATATACTGAATAGCAAGAAAAATATAGCACTTAGTTTTGAATGTACAAAGTTGGATGTAAGAGGGGTGGGAAGGAAGCAAAGTGAATGCCCTTTTTGCAGAAAATCCTTTTGGGAAAAGAGAACATTTTTACTGGTGTACACTAAGGTAGAGCGCCTAAGTAAATAGTTGCTGCTTTCTGGTCGTGTCAGTTTTAAATAAACCATTCATTGTTATGGCTTGGTTATTCCACAAATACCCAAATCCTACGGAGTTAAACTTTGATACCACTGATTGGAAAAATGCAGATGATGAACTCAGTGTGAATTTATATGGATGGGCTTACTTAGAGGAAATAAGTTTTGCAGATTGTGTTAGGAAGTAAATATACTGCGGGCTGGAAGTACTCTGTCACAAAGCTGCTCCTGTGCTCGGGTATTGTACAATAGCTGGTAGAATTAATTCATCAAACTCTTGTTAATACTGAGTCACTAAGCTAGACCAGATGTGTCCCTTCTGTGTTACAGAGCAAATGTGACACGTTTTTTTTTGGTTTTTTTTCCTAAAAGCTTTCTATTTAAAGGTAAATAGATGATGCATTTGAGTGAAAGTTACTCCTGGAATTTATACAGAAAATGCTTCAAGGACATAAATATCGTGGCAGTTCAGTTTTATGGCTCACCTGAAAGGCTTTTGGAGACATGTAAAATTAAAATAGCAAATTCTGACACCATGGTCCTCAGATTTTTTTTTTTTTTTTTTAGTGATATCTTAAAATGCCTTTTAATTTCCTTTGAATCCTGTTTAATTCATGCACATTTAGTCTTTCTGATTCTACATGAAGGTTTGTGCTCATAGTAAATTACTAATATATTGTATTAATACAAAAAATACAGTTGTGGATGATTATCAGCTCTAGGCAGAACAAATGTGTTTGTATTGAGGATCTTTCCATGTCAATGTGGTTGTGCTTTTTTTTGTGAGCCCTTCAGTGGAAATATATTGCACTGTGTCAAAAACACCAGCTGACCTACAAATAAGACTACTTTGGCTAAAATGTTTCTCACTTTTGAAAGTTGAGGTGAGTTAGGAGTGGCCAGTCTGATGCCCACAAAAGCAGTTTCTCTTGTCGTAGGACTATGGGAAGGAGCAAGAAGGTATGAAGGGACTGACTCCAGACATGTCTGCCTCATAAATTTTACCAAGTATTCTAAAACCAGTACGTCTGGCATCTGTTATTTCACTACAAGCACTAACACTTACAATTTATGTAGAACACTGTGATAGCATTAATAAATATAGTTTTTAACAAATACTAAGACAGGACCCTGGCAAGTTCTTCCACTGCATGGTTAGCAAGATACGTGAAGAGTGCAAAATGATTTTGAGGTACTGGTGGCAAATCTGAATGCAATAGCAAATTGTACTTTACAGCTTCAGTGCTAGGGTGGAAAATATTGTACTGATAGATAAGTCTTCTAAATTTATACTGCTGCTGGTTTGACTTCTTTAACTTGAATTTCACAATTTTAGAAGTATAAATCAGTAGGAATTAGAGGCTTGAACTGTATACATGTATGTTTGCACATACACAGCTCATTAACATTTCTTAAAAGAAAGAATACCCTGTTCTAATACCACACATGGACACATTAAAATATTGTGTGTTTTTAACTCTGTCTTTTCTGATTTGTATTTATATGAATTACGTGTCTTTTGAGAGATTAACACTATCTGGTGATCAATGTACTTAGGCATAATTATTTATCTATATTGTTTTTCCTTAATGAAAAAATAAACAACCCGTTCTTTTGCTTAAGTGTATAGGGTCCTATATATTAAATGTGTCTGACAGAGAAATTCAGTTCAGTAATTACAAATGACTTGTAACATCCCCCTGTTCCGATTTGTTCCAGCAGAGACACTGCACCCAGCATATGGTGCTTTATGTTTATGTGTGCCTGTGCATATAGATGCAAATGCATCTCGTTAGTGTTAATTTTCATTGTGATCAAGGCCGGATCCTGTTCCTCTGAACAGTATTATATTATGTAACTGGCAGTGGCTCTGTCTTTCTGTTTCAGTAAACCACAGAGTAGATTTAGATCTAAGATATCTGACCATGAGGGATAAGTAAACAATGGTTTGGCACACTTACGGTTCAAATAAATTCTGGGGAAAATAAATGTATGTAAGGTCATCAGCTTTTAACTTTCTTAATCAAAAAAATGAATGTTAATAAATTTTAAGTCATTATGAAATGCTAGCAATTCTGAGGAAATAAAATATGTAAAATAAGCTGTCTATCAGAAATATAGTAATCATATTTTAATGAATTCCTGCCAAAAATTTTTGCAATGGGGTTTTTAGCTATAACATATTAAAACTGTTGTTAATTCCAGAACTGCCTGACCTTAACGAATATGGCATTTTTAAGAGACAAACAGCAGAAAAAACTGTTTCTACCCTTCGATGTAAAAATAAAAGTAGCTTTATTGGAGATGAAAAAATATTATCAAGGAAAACTACTAGGAATACAATGGGTATTATAAAAAAATACATTTTAAAGCACCCCGTGTACTTAAAGGAGAATGTAGCCTTTTTTCCTTTAATCTTTTGCTATTCTAAAGTTAACTTTTTATAAATAAAAGCATATAATAAGGAGTAGGTTGTGCAAAATAATTTAATTGCTCTGATTAAAATGACTTCAGTAGTTCAAGAGAGTCAGGAGAAAACCTATGGAGTTTTCCCTCCTGGGGCAAGTTCCTACATGAAATAGGAAACTTAAAGCTACATGAAGAAGGTTAGACCAGTACACAGTATAGTAACAAGCAGAATAAAAAATATATACAGGAAACAGATGCATGAATAATGGATTTTTTTTTTAATTGGAAATGTTAAACTGTTTTACGATACAGTAACCTCAGTTTATTTTGTCTTTGTGCTCATCTTTAAAATGCTCTCTTTAGGGTGTGCTTTTCAGTATGTGAAGTGGCAGGTCTTATATTTATTTGTAGAAGAGAGCATGTTTATGTAAGGAAAAGTGCTCTTAGATTTAGGCTTTATTAACTTAAAAACAAAAACACCTGAGAGCAGAAGATAGACCTCCTTAGCCTGTTTCCTATAAGACTTTAGAAGGCAGTTTGGAGTGAAGATATCTAATAGAAATTAAAGATACTGTATGTAATGTGAGCACAAATGAATTTTATTGATAAGAGTAGATATTTGTGGGGTTTGGTGACCGAGGAGGTAGCGTTTTCTGTTTTGTGGGTGACTTCTGTCTCCGGATGAAAATCTGTGGTTAATTCCTAAGTCTGGTAAAATTTCCATGGAAAATCTCATTGAAATGGCACATAGTCTATTAATTTATTTCTGAGTACACTTACCAGAATATATTGCATTTATTCTGTTTAGGCAAATTAATTTTTTATCTTGAAAATAAGTTACATGTTTTCTTGTTGCAGTTTTTTTAACTGCTTGTATGAAACTTGGGTTCTTCCAGTGCTGAAGTTAAGACCCTAAAATGCTTCAGGTTTTACCATCTTAAGCTCACTATTTATCTTGAGGCTGCCTTAATTAAAATATTATATACTCTAGGGCATATTAAACATGGCAATTTATTGTAATTCTTATTAATGGAGTGTATTTAATGAGTTTTCAGAACCAACTCCTTAATCTACAACACACAACGTTGATTTTTATTGGGTACACAGAGGGAAACCTGCAGATAGTCTGATTTTCAGGAGGTGCCCAGCACTGACAGCTGCCTTTGACTCCTGTTGTATTCAAGAAGGAGAAACGCTGGTGCTCAGCACCTTTGCAGCTTGGCAAGCACGGGATAATTCCTTCCTTCCCTCTCTGATTCAATTTTCACACAAGTATGCTGGACTCAAGCATAAAATAATGCCAGCTTCTGCTTTTATCTTCAGCTTTTTGCATTAAATTAGAGATTTAGAAAGTATTTCTTAGTTGTTACTCATGTTGTTCATTGATGGTGTTTTCCACAAGGTGTGACTGTCTGTAAACACAGTTATTATGTATCTCTTTTGAACTGTCTGCACTGCTTAGTTAGCATCTCTTGCCAGAATTGTTAGCTTCTTTATTTTTCCCTTTTTACTTAAATGGATGCATTATTAGATGTTTGGTATTTACTTATGCCTGTTCTGAGCTTCTTGTTACACATTAAAAAGCACGACTCTCTTCTGAAAGCAATTGGGAAAATAAAGCATAAGGTGCAATTTTAAGATTAATATTAGTCTGACCATGACCAAGAAATCACACAGCTTGAGAGGAATTTCAGTATTATTGTTATACTCTTAATGTGGGGTGGCAGAGCCTTTAAATATTTCTGGTAGTTAATACAGCATGGAAGTTTGATATTTGTACAGTTTGTAAAGGAATTTGAGGTGTTACCCTATTTTGACTTCAGTTTTCAAGTATGCACTGGTGCATCATTAATCATAGGAAATGCAAAAATAAATAATATAGTCCCTTTGGAATTTTCATGTGAATACTTACCTTTTCCTTTTTTTGTATATACAGTTGAGGTATTTAGGTAACCCCTAACCTTTTGCTTCAACAAGGAGGTACAGTATAAAAATATTACCACAGTCTTCATATGAGCAGTTCTCTCTAAGAAAACCTCTAGATGAATATTTATTGAAAAAAAGCAAAGTTGCAATACAGAATGACTTAGCTTGGCCTGAATATTATATTTTAGACCACCAGTGAATAAAATTAAAAGCACATGGATTTTGAATAACTAGAAAAGGTTGTAATTGATTAGCACTGCATGAAAGTATTGAAGTGGAGTGAGTTTTGATTTGTGAATGGTCCTATTCAATAGAGATTAATCCTGTATGTTTGATAAAATCTTAGTGCCTTTAATGAGATAGGATTTTTTTTTTTTCTCTCCCGGTTTATTTAACCATCAGAAACTCCGATATTCTCCAAACAAACTGGAATATTTTGATCTTACTGAATTTTACATCGGTGTAGTTGATTTAAACAATGTTGGCTATTAATAGTTCATTTGAGATCAGTGCATTTTGCTGCCTACAGACCTTGTAAATGGTGAAGTGCAATCCCACAGGGTTTGGGGTTTTCAGATACCGGAGTCTCCGTGCAAAGCTGCAGCTTTCTTAATGCACGTGAGAATACTCATTCCTGCACAGTTTTCAATATTATTTATTTTTTAATCGTAGTATTTTAAATTATGTTTTATGCAAAGAGCAGTGTTTCCTGAGATTTTGCTTAGTATTTACAATAGTATGAATGAGTTAAACAGAGCTGGAACACACAGAAAACTTCTGCTTTCTATACACCGATAATCAAAAAGGATTTGTTTCTCTTATCAGTCTCCTAATTAAAATAAAAAACCCCGTAAGGTTCCCTACCAGATAGTAAAGCAGTTGAGAACTGAAATTTACAAAAGGTTTGGGATTTTTGGATGAAGATGATATTGAGGAGTATTTCAACATATGCAGAGTCATTTGTTTTGTCATTAACTTGAAGACTTTAGATTTACTATATCTCTATTGGGATCAGCTTCCAGAAATTACATGTGAAATAATTTGTTGAATTTTCAGCTAAACTGGGATCCTATTTCCTTTGTTCATTGAAGTTCTCCTCTGAAGATGCACAGAATATAGTTCAAGATGCCTTTTCCAATTTTAAAACTGTAATTGTTGTTGGAGGCATTTAGGAAGATTTTCAGTCTCTGAAATACTTTGAGTAAATGATGTTTTCCAAATTTTATGCCAAATATGCTGTTTATTTTAATTTTTTTTTTTGTACAGTGTTTATTTTGAGCCTTTTTTGACCCTTGAAATGCTATGGATTTAGATATAATAGCCTTTGCTGGTTGAAATGAATCCAGTTAGATTTAAAAGCCTGAGAAGGTTTACACAGGCTTGATGCAGTCAAAACCTGTGTATAACTGCCACAAGGTAGAGATAATTTGGATGTGAAACCCAGAATGTAGTTAATTAAAATGTACTAAATTGAAGAGGAATATGTATGTTTGCATGAACTAGGAAAGGATCCTTCCACTTTGCTACTCTTGTTTTTCCCTTTCATATGAAGTCAAAAAACACAGAGACAAAAATGAGTGGAATAAAAGCTTTCAGGAATATGGTTAATGGCACAGATTAGCAACCGTGCGGGTTAATCATAGCTCTGTTTTCCTGCCCTGTTATGACTTGTCATTATGTTTCATCAGTTCAGTGTTGAAGAGAAACAATTGAACTCAACAGTCCTGAAAAGAATACGGTAGAAATGGGAAAAGGGCAGTACAGAAAGGGAGAACAGATCATGCATTCTGAGGTGCTGCCGCATCATTGAGTGGCAAATTCATGAGCAGCTTGGGTATTCTGGCTTTTTTTAACAATAAATTCTGCCTCCTTTTTATAAAAGTGGGTTTTCCAAAATTTGGTTTTAGCTCAGAATACATTGCTTACACATTGACAGAGCTGATGAGATTTTTGTAGTCCCTGGCATCTATTGTTTGTGTCTAAAGAGAAATTCAGATATCCCACCTTATTCAGTAAAGTTTGGGAAAAGTATTAAGCACAGTATCACAGTACTTCCCACTGGCTTTAGGAATTATCAGAAGTAGGTGAATTAAGCAGTCAGACTTGGTGTTTTGATAATTTTAGCCAACTAAATTTCTTCTAATCTCTTTTGGAAGTAAAAGCAAAAGAAAGTCCCTATACATGTAAACTGTATTTCCTGTTGTAAACACTGGGATAATGTGGTCTGGCTACGCTTCTGCTGTGCTTCGCTCAGACACCAGTTTGGGTAGAAAAGCTGTTTTGCCGGGTCTGTGTTTGCATTGCAGCTCAGCCTTCGGGGTATTACAGCTGCGTTACAGCCACAGGTCATGTTATCTCATCTGGTATCTATAGGTCATATATTAAATTGGTCACCTTCCTGCAAGAAGCAGTTTCTTCATTTCTATTCCTATACCCGGTTTCAGAGCTTCTTCACGTGCTTAACGAGGAACCAGTCAAAGAGTGTGAAGTAGGAGGGGTAAAAGGCACCCCAGTCATCAGGTCACTACAATAATGGGGATGTATGTACTGGACGTGGTTCTAGCATTGTTTTTTTTAGAAGGGTGGCAAGGGAGGGAAAGAAGTAGGTTTAGCTACAGCCCCAACATAATTTCAACATGATGGACACCATTAAGAAAATCTTGTAAGTTTTCACAATTTTTTTTTCCTAAAACTTTCAGAATTTTCAGCTCGTCTGTCTGAACTGCCTCAGTAAAAGATGCTTTGAAAAAAAATTGTGACTATTTCTTGCAGTTCATCAAGTGTGATGAGAATAAAACATTTTCCAGTACACTTTAAAATATAACTTCATTTTACTTGCAGATAAATCACTTAAAGTCTTATTTGATTCTATTTAGTATTTGTGAGATGCTCCCTACTGATTTTAAGTTTCTATCTGAGAGGATGAAGCTTTTCAAAGTAAGCAAAGATAGAGGTGCAATTTTATAGTGTATTTGAGTTTTATGAGCATTTATATGTGCAGTGAATATAAATAATTCAGTATATACATATATGATTTCTTAAAGGAATCTGTGTTTACAGTTCAGAATATTGAAATAAATATTTGGCAGTGCTCTTCTACAGTTTTCTACATCCCACTTTAAACTTAAAATTCAGCAGCATGTTAGATCATGTATTTTTTATTTCATAGCTTAATATTTTCATGCATGAATGTTTTGCCTTGTTCATAATAAGTGTAATGAGAAGAATTTGCTTTTACAATTGAATATATTATCAAACAAGCTTTGCTGTGAAACGAGGGCAACTGAGGACTAGAAAACTGCAGATTTACACTGATAACTTCATCTGAGATATATGCGTAAAAATAAGATGCCTTATTTTAATATACATATATTAATATATATAATATAAAAATGAGGACACTTTTAGGTAGGATAGGCTGCAGTATGCTACACACTACTCATTTTCATCACAGCATCAGACGTTTAGAGAGCAAGCAGTCTGAACTCTGTGATTTAAGTCTCTTACAGTATCTTTTGTTAACTAGCCATGGTAGATATATCTAAAATTGTTACCACAGTTCTTAAGGAGATTTTCTGAGCTGCTGTTGATTAACTCACTAACTAATTTTTCTTTTGCCCTAAGATAATGTTAAACATTTTGCTAGATCCCATCAGACTCTTTCAAATTCGTGCAGCTACACCTTGACCCCTGTGACAGCTGAGCACACCTGCTGTCAAACACTAAGGACTAAGCCACCAACTTCTCTTTGCTCAGCTTGCCAGCTAACAAATTTGTTCTTAAATCTGCAGAAGTTACTTACAGTTACTTCCCCCTCCAAAAAAACCCCAAACAACCAGGTGTACTATTTTAACATTCTAACATCTCATTCAGCATTTTTTTACTTAGATAACTACAATCAGTATTGTTCAAAGTAAGAAAACTCTTGACAGCGAGAAACAGAAGCTCAAATATTGCAGCACTTACCCCAAAAGAAGTTTTGCTGACATGGTGTCACTGAACTGAACAGGCTGTTTGATGCCATAGTCCCTTCTCGGTTCACGCAGAGCTTTCACCTTCTGGTGTAAATACTTCTTGGATCCTCAAACTGAAAACACAAACCATAGCCAAACCTTGTTTTAGTTTTACTGTGTCCCTGGATTGCATAGGCTCTATAGTTGGTTTTTTCTCTGTCAAAAAATTGTGTAGTGCGGTAACATGTGAAAAGGAAGGCAACAAAACAAAAAAATAGAGAATGAGCAAATATTTGAAGGACCTACTATTACTGCATAGACTGTGGTTAGAGAGCACTTACTGACTCTGTTGGTCTCAGTGGCTGGTAGTGACCTGCGGAGATTAACCATTTAAAAACCAGAGACTCCTTTCTGTCCTCCTGGAGAAAGTTTGCACCGCACTTGTGGTTCTGTGGTTGTTTGTGAGGCGAATGAAGCATTCACACAATCCAAAAAAGCAAAAGCTTTAAAACTCCTTTTTTTTGCAAGCACTGTTACTGGAGCGAGCGAGTCATGTGGCTGTGACATCAGAGGACTCCAAGTAGGACTGCCTACACTGTGGCTTTTTCTTTCTCTCTCTCCTTTTTTTTTTCCTTTTTCTTTTTTTTTTTTTTCTTTTCAATTTTTTTCAATTTTTTTTATATTTTGACAAAAGGTCCGTGTAAGGCCCTTCCTGGCTTTCAGAGGGACATAGCTTTTTAATTTTTGTGACTCATGAGGCTTTGGAGAGAGTACAAAATGCTGTAAGAGCCCAAACTTCTGTACAGTTAAAGCATATGGACAGCAGAACTTTATTTGTGATCTCAGTTCAGGTTCCCCCCACTCTTCTTCCCCTCCTTTTTTTTTCCTTTTTTTTTTTTTTCTCCTCCTCCCATTCCCTCTCCCTCCTTTATTATTGTGTCTGTGGAAAAGTGAGCAAAATTGGCACAAGTGGCTGTGTGAAATTCTGAACAACAGTGATGATTTGCAATAATTTACATCTTTGGATTGTATCACGATCTTGGGTCTGCTTCATATTTGCTGGGTGGCTGGATTCCTTCTGTTTTACTTTTTCTCCTTGTCGTCTTATACTTGTGAATCTGTAACTCATTGTAAGAAACTTTACCTTTCCTAAGGTCTAGTAGCAGGCTGCTTGTTGGGGTTGTGTTTTTCACTGTAATTGGCTGTCACAGAAGTGTTAGTCTGGGGATTCCTTTGCAAATCTTAAATCATGTCTGCCTTGCTTTACATGCCTTCAAAACTACTTGGCAGTTTTATGTGATGCAAATTAAGGGCAATTATGTTTCTTTTATATTTGGGGCAAAATATGTCATTTGGATATCATAATTGGTGGTGTGCTGCAGCCGGGGAGCAGTGATGCTTTGGAACACCGGCATTGGGAGGATTTAACGTGGATGTTGTGTGATAGAGTGAGCTGGGAGGGTTGGGAGGTTTTGGTTATGCTTACATTAATTCCTTATTATAGTTCTGGTGTTTAAGGGAAATAGAACAGTCTTAAACTTTTGGGGAGACTATAAATAACTTCATTCACCAGTTAATGTTAACACTTAGTTTTAAAATGAAACATAAATTTGATGCATATGTAAGATTCAAATACTTAATATCATCTGTGTGCATGTGTGTGTGATATTTTTTTATATACTTAACATATTGTAACTTTGACTTTGATTGTGTAACATAAACCCTGACTGTACCGGTATGGAGTGGGTTAACAAAAGCAGTATTTTTTTGTTTATAATAGAGGCTTTGAAATAAATTGCAAAATGCTGTGTGTAGTAAGGAATAATGTGCACAGACAGTGTGTATTAGTAGTCTTGATTTGCTAACTCAGATTCAGAACAAAATTGGAAACATCTTTGAGAAAGTATCTCATTTTTTGCCTCTTTGGACATTATATCTAGAACTTTTCATATTATCCTGATTGTACCACAGATGCACTGTAGTTTTAAGTTTTAGCCGAATGCATTTTTTTCCTTTTTATTTTTTTTTGGTCATTTTCTTAGGGGAGCAGAAGAGCCATGTAAACCATTTTCTAGATATTGTTTGGCTTTTATTTGTAAAACAAAATACATCTCTTTGATACTGCCATCCTTCCTTTTTTGTTTTCCTCTTAGTCCTGAGCATTCTTGGTTAGAAATTGGCCAGGAATGGTGTGATATGAATAGCGGGAGGTGTGGGTATAGAGCAGGTTCTCTGTTTTGTGGGGATGGGACAAATGAGAAAGGATTTTTATTTTATTTTTTTTAGTAAAAAATAGATTGTTTTGATTTTTGCTATATAATTATAAAAAACCCATAAAACCTTCTTCATAAAAACTTCTTTCATAATAATTATTATAAGGTAAATTGCATTGCTCTTAATTCAATACTTTGAGAGTTTTACATGTTGCCAAACACAGAAAATTCTACCATAAAATGAAAAAGGCGTATTCTACAAAAAACCCCTTCCACTTTAAAGTAAGGGTGATATTTAATTCTTCTATTCATGGATTGCTTTTATTATTTTCTCTGTATGGTTAAGAGCATCAATGAAAAAAATCTTGTGGGTATAAAAATAGTGGAAAGAATACTAATCTTTTCATATACAGATTATATTTGTATGCTTTAAAGTTTGAATCAACTTATGATGCAGCAAAAGCTTTTGGAAGTTGCTGTCTCTTATTTGGGGAACTCTTAAATTGTAAGCTCAGAGATTTCAACTATAGTTACACATTGAAGGTACTTATCAAATTCTATTTGACGGCAGGTAGGTGCAGTATTTTTAAATAATAGATAACTGTTGTCTTGACCTTAAATACTTATTTCCATTAATATGAAAAAAGTTGTTTGATTTTTCAAGAGTCTGCACTTTATTTTTAGTCATATCTTTAGTATTAGAATATTGAGCTTCCTACAGAAGTCTGAATATAAAAACTTATTGCATTGAAATGCTGTTCTCAGGCTTTCTCCAGAATGGCTTTTTCATGCTTTCATTTGTGTATGCAGAGTTACTCTCTAACTTTGTTGCTGTGCTTTGATCTAATACCTTTAAGATTTATTTTGTTTTACTTTTTCACCTGTTAAAATCAGAAGCACTAGAAAGAAGTCTTCATCTAGTAAAGCAAAAGCCATTAAAAACAGAAAACCAAATACTGTAACTGAGTAATTGAGAAGTAGTTTGTAAAAATTCACTGATAAAATGCAGATTTTTTTAATATAGAAATACTATAAATCCAGACTTTGAGACCAAATATCTGTGAAACTGATGGCTTCCTTTTGATACAGTTTGCACTTCTGATGACATAGATTCAAGAATCCTGAAAATCCACTGTGTAAACCAATGTCTTGATTGTAGACTAGTGCTTGACAGGCTCTTGTTTAAAAGGTAGATCTACAAAAATGGAAGTTCACTTCTGAGTTCCACAGGGGATGCTTTGAGTCCCAATTGCACTTACAAAGGAAGTATTATGCTAAGGAATTTCTCTGGTAAACTATGAGCTTGATCTTTGATGACAAATGAAATCTAAAAGTCAATTGTAATGCAACACTATAAGATAATTACATCTTTCACTGTTCTTGAAACATGTTTTGGAACTTTTATGCTATGCTTTATTTCCAAACATTTTGCCTTATGTCACTCAGAAGTTCATCCAGTCTATAAACAGTGTGATACCCTGAATGCTGAAAGTTTATTTGTACTTAAATGTTTGCTTCTATGCTACAACTGGAATGATATAAATACTCTGCTTAGAGCAGTGTGATGACAAACTTGTTAGATTGCATTTACTTACAAGTTTTACAATATATACGATAACAAGATGCTGTTTTTATAAATCAGAAAGTCCTGGTGCAGTTTCCTCAGGTGCATGTATTCACTGTAGGTGTTGTTAATGTATCTGTTTCAACTAAAGCAGGTTTTTTTTTTCTTTAAGTGAAACCTCTTCCCTTGGCACTGTTTTTCAAACTGAGGAGTAACTGCAATTTTTAGAGGAAGAAAACTGTTTTCTGTAGGTTCGCAGCCATTTAAAATACTTTGTTCAAATACTTGCATGTTTTAGGAAACATTTGTTGTTAAACTTGGATATTTTGCACACTTCTCTTTTCCATCGTCTCTGCAACAGTAGAGTATGCTGATACCACTTTATACTAACCTTTTAAAGCAAAGACTGAAACTGCCTGTTGATTTAAAAATTTGCAACAGCAAGGTTATTTCAGCGTTCCTCATTATAAAATGGTACTTATTGCAAAATTAACAGTGAGCATCTGAGTGTTACTGCTGCTTTTTTCTGCCTCAGAACCTTTTTCTAGCTAAGATATGGTTTGCAGTGGATGGTGCCTGGGACCACTAATGTAGAGGGGGAAAAAGTACTATTACCTTTCTAGGGTAAACAAGTGTTGTTTGTTTTTGTACAGTGCAGTCAGGCTACTGAAGATCACATTAAACCTTAAACTGAGCTGTTGTTTAAATTAAAGAGATGGTCATCTCTTAACTAGTGAGTACATCATGGAATATAGCAAGTAGTCAAAAATGGTTTTCATTCACTTTGAGTTGCCACTTCTCTCACTTCTTCATAGCATAGCAAAGTTATTCTCCAGTGGAATAATCTAACCCTGATCAGGCTTTGAATAAAGGACTGCATCTTAATGGTCAGGTGTGTCTTATCTTGATTCTTCCTGCTCGGACTTCTTTTTTGACAAGTATTACTTTCCTTGTGTTCCTGTATCTCGCAGACTGTACAGCAACTGAGATGCACCCATTCTAAACAGTCAATATATGGTGTTTAAGATGATCTTAACCTCCTAGTTATTTTCTCATGTCTGTATTTTTTTTAAAAAAGTCAACTTGCAGAAAATATGGGAAACTTGTCTCATATAACAGCTGAGGATGTGGCTAGGTTAAGGCAGGAAACTGCTACCCACAATGCAATGTTACATACACTACCACTTAATAAAATTTATTTCAAACATGCTACTGACAAAACCAAAGAAAAATAATATCCTAACTATGCTAGTTAGTACACTAAATATATCTAGGGAAAAGTGAAAGTAATCTCTCTAGAGCCTTTCCTGCTCCTAGGGTACAAAGCTACTAGTAGTTAAACCAGAGCAGAACTCAGCAGCTAAAAGCAGGGACCTATTTTTAGAAAATATTCATAA